ATTTGTAGGAATAATGGATGTAGAATACGGGCAGAAGAATAAAGCATTAATGTGTGCTTTATAAGTACTAATAAACAGCCAATATCCTAGTAATATGCGAATAAGCAACTAGTTGATCGTAAGAATTGGACCCTAAACTTAAGTGCTACCTGAGTAATTACTCACCCACATGTTGTTCCAAACCTGTTAGACTGTCATTCATCTTCAGAACACAAATGAAGAACTTTTTGATAAAATCTGAGAGCTTTCTGTCCCTCTATTGGCAGCTACGCAAAGGTCACTTTGACGCTTCAAAAAGTTCATGAAGAGATCGTTAAACTAATCCATATGAATTGAAAGGTTTAATACAATTTTACAGAACAGATTCAGTTTAGGTTTTTATTCACATATAGACATTTATCAACTTGTGGTAAACTAAAGCTCACGCGAGCTTGAAAGTTAAGAACCAATGAACATCAGTCTTGTGTATTTTGCAGCACGTTTGAGCTTCTACAATCTGTTGAAATGATCGTATGAAATGATCGTGTTTTTCAGAAAATTTGGACTAAATGGACATATGGAACAGTTTTACGATATCTTTATGAATTTTTTGAAACATCAAATAAGTGGTAGATGCGTAACTGTCAATGGAGGGACCGAAATTGCTCAGATTTCCTCAAAAAGATCTTTGTGTTTCAAAGACGAACGAAAGTCTTAGGGGTTTAGAATGATATGAGGGTGAGTAAATAATGACAGAATTTAAATTTGTGGGTGAACTAACCCTTTAATTATCTGAAATGGAAATCAACAGTGTGTTTTGTGACTGTTATTCATTAAATTTGTTCAAGACCATCTTGTCTCTAGGTGCTGAATCTCTCAGCAGGGATTGATATCTAAGCAACACTGACGCTGTCAACTCACAACGGCTGTGACGCTGCTGCAGCTTTTGTTAGATGTTCAGTGTTGCATGTTTGTTTTCGAGCGAGCCCCATCACTGTGGTGTTATGTTCTGTTTTGCTGATTTAAGGATTGGCTTCATAAAGCATTCACTCTGCTGTCTGGTGGAGGTGAGCTGCTCTCATGTTATACGGTTGCCATGGCAACACTGTTGTGAAGCATATAATTTCAAGGCTGGAGGAATGGAGTCTTTTATGTGTTCACTACAAATGGCAACACTTTGTAGTGCATGATATATATATTTTTATAATATATTTTTGGGGGGAAGATTTATAGGATTTATAAAAATCGTTTGAGAAAGCAAGGTTATATCCTAAACAATTAGCATATTAGAATGATTTCTGAAGGATCATGTGACACTGAAGAAGTAATGGCTGCTGAAAATTCAGCTTTGACATCACAGGAATAAATTATATTTTAAAATATATTAAAATGGAAAAATCATTATATATTAAGATTATTCATATATTGTGATTTTATAAGTATAATAATATAAAACAAAAACACTGGATGGATTTTTATCATTATATGGTCGTGTACAGGCACTGCCAACACACATTTCCGTACAATTTGTAAATTTTTTATTTATTTTTTTATTATTATTTTATTTATTGAAGTGTCTTGCACTCACATGCCCAGCCCAAATAAGCTTAAAAGACACTAATGGCATTAAACAAACATAATACAAAAAAAACGATGACCATGATACAAAAGCACATAGGAAGATGACCATCATTAAAGATACGTTACCATAATTTTCCCAATATAAACAAACAAAACAAAATATATAATGGCAGTGCATGTGCCATTATATGACCCCTTTAACATAACGGCTATGCAACTTTTATACAACAGCTTATGCAACTGGCCCCTCCTCTTCATTTCCACCTTCTTTACATAAACCAGCTCGGTGAGGGTGTGCACTGGGAATGAACAAGTGCACGCAATTCTTCGCTTTTTTTTTTTCTTCCTTTTTTTTGGTATTTTGTTATGTAACATCCATTGGGGAACACAAGATGCACAACAAAGGCAACAATTAGCAACAGGTAGCAAGAAAGAGAGGGAGAAGTCATGAACCACACTACCAGGGAACAAGAGCGGGCGGGGTATGACTGACTCAGATTTCTGAAATTGTTTAAATCCTTTTGCTTTCCCATGAACCACGTTAGTATTAAACACTGAGTATAAACTTTGTTTTGGTCAGACAAGCATTTTGTGTAGATATTTGAAGTTTGTGGCACACTGAGATTGCCTTGTGTTAAAGAGGTCATGAATTGCCTTTTTTTATTCTATAATGTTGTTTATTCTGCTGAGTAAGTAAGTTTCAGCCACCTTCTCTTGACCTCTTTCACTTCCTGCATACGAGACATCCACTTCCTGTTTGGAACTTTAGGCAATGTAGTGGAAGTTCTCATGTGTGATGTGAAACAGGAGGGACACGCATTTTTTCCAAAACAAACTATATATCATATAAAAATGTACCAAGAAGAATGAGAAGACTTATGTGTGTCTCTCTGTTTGTCCTCAGGGAGAAGCTGTGTGTGGGTGGTGCGCAGCTGTCTGAGCTGTATGCAAATCTAGATCACTGTGCTGGCGCTCTGAGGCCCTGATTTAACACCCCATTTTCCATGTTTGGACCCAGCCAACTGTCTAATTGCTACTGGTCCGGACTCCTTTGGACCGACCTGGTTTTTGGTCGCGGAGTCCTAATCGCCTGGAACCAAAGCTGTACCAGCCTACTGATTCTCTGTCCGTGTAACATCCTGTAGCAGTCAGTGCATCAGTCACAAGAGCCTGACATGTTATGCAAAAGTAACTAAATGCAAGGGTTAACAGTCGACAATAATTCGTCAATTTACCCCATGCTCTAGTTCATGTTTAATTTATAAGCTTTAATATATTTTAATTAGGGCTGTGCAAAAGTTAATTGCGATTAATCGCATCCAAAATAAAAGTCTCTGTTTACATAGTATATTTGTGTGTGCTGTATATAATTATTTTGTATATATAAATACACACACATGCATGTATATGTTTAAGAAAATGTGTTATTCCTATATAAAATATTTATATTTGTATAATATAGATTATGTATTTATATATATATACAGAATTTAAGCGCAAATAATTCTTAAATATATACATGCATGCATAGGTATTTATATATACAAAATAATTATATACAGCACACTCAAATATTTTATGTAAAACAGACTTTTATTTTGGATGCGATTAATCGCAATTAACTTTTGCACAGCCCTAATTTTAATTGTTTTAAACTATTTGCATTATTATTTTATTTTACCTTACTTTATAGAGAATGTTTTTGCCCTCTGAGAAAAATAAACTCTTTTAGTGATGATTCAATTTTTTGTTTTATAGGTCTGTTGGGGTTTTTGGTGTATACCGCATAGAAGGTAGAATTGCCATTATGTTCAAATTGTGATGTGCAACTTTAAAAGTCTTTCTAAGGTCCACTCGCTGTTGTGGTAACAGGTTTTTATGTGTTCAGAGAGAAACGGAGCTATTACTTCATAACGCTGTCGGACACGTCGTTCATTGCTCCGAGGCTCTCAGTAATTAGTGAGTGCAACATCGAGCCGTGTCATGAAAGCCAATTTTCTTGGGCATCAATCCAGTCACCCTTCTGGAAACTATTCTGAAATCCACTCATTTGTTCCATGATTGTAAGAAGGTACATTTTGTTACAATTCTGTTTAGGTCTGATAAGATGCTATATTTTTTATTCTCATTATAAATCTTTAGTTTTACACATGCAATAGCGGCACCAATATGAACTTCAGTAGTATAATTTATATAGACCTTTATAATTTATATATTTTTGTATTATAAATATACTCTGGTTTCATTTGGTGTAAGTTCGGATATTGTACTATTTGTATTATATTGTGAATAGTTCAAGATGAATATTTTCTTTACATATATTTGCACTTTGATTAAAGAATTTGATCACTAATTATGTGTCATCCTTTTTTTATTGCATGTAAATCTGGATTTCTGGTTTGTAAGGCAGCATGGTGACATAGCTTGAGGATTACAGGATTATGGGAACAGTGATAATAATATCCTTGAGATTACGCCAACGTTCAATGACGTAAGCAAGGTAATGGCTGTGACTGTGTTCATAGGTAACTGAGTTCAAAAGACTATTACAATATGGGCAAGAAAAAAAGATTGGTAACACTTTACTTGAAGCCTTTATGCATAATGCATTATAACGATATTCATATTGTACGTTATAATAATCTTTGCAGATACATCTGAAATAGGTTTGTCATGTGTTTTAATGCATTATACTATAATTTCTTATAACTGTGGTTACAGTTAGTCATGATGTGACCATACAATGCATTGTAATGACAAGGCATAATTAATGCATTAAACAATATGTTATAAGGCTATAGGCTTGTAGTAAAGTGTTACCAAAATATTATAGCCCTTATCCTATCCTACTGAAAATGCCAGTAGCACCTCAATGCAGTATGTGAGATCCAGGGGGAGGAGTTGAATCCAGATCCAACTCCTCCCACCACCTTACATACTGTATACCTAAACCTACCTATCTCCACCCCTGATCCCTAATCCTACCCATCTCCACCCCTTAGAGCTGGACCCAACTCCGCCCAATGCATCTCGAGTTCAAGAGGGGAATTGCAGCGACTTCATGACTGACCCGATGATAAACTGCCAGAAAAGACCTATAATCCCTCCTGTTGGACCTTGTGATTTTGGCCTACTTCCTACCAGCACGACTAATGCGATTAAGTCTAGCTTCTAACAGGTTAGTATTTGTGAATGGAGTGTGAAAGTTGGATAAGAGGAGAAATAAATGGTCTGATAATAAACTATCCAGTTTTCTTTTACCTTCATCTGATCCTAAACCCACTTATAAACTAAACACTAGTGTATTCCTTCCAGAATCATGTAACAATAAAGTCAAACCAACATTCAGTTCTTGAGATAGAATGTGCAAAACATCTTCAATGCAGAAATCCAAGTAAATGACACCTTTTCAATTTTGTTTCTAGAGACACAAACCAAAATATTTTCACAGGCTGAAATGGTTTTATTAGTACGGAAATATCAGCTCATAACAAATGTAGTAGAATTTTATCTGCCAAATAATTAAGGAAAAAAACAAAACCATGGAACCAAAAAACTCTTTTGTTTCTTCCAATTGCTAAACACAGAAAATATTTAAAAGAGAGGATATCAAGAAGGAAATGAGCATATGAGCATCGTTTCACTTGTTTGAATCAGTCAAACAAAAAAAAGTAACAAAAGATCTAATGAGCAAGAGCACTGAAGCGTGGTTAACTATACGCATGTGAGTGTAACTAAACTGGCACTGGTTAGTTCATAACCTCATGGGTGTTTTATGCCTGCTAGCTCATCCATCAATCTATTGGTTACGTTGCAGTGTATCAAAAATATAAAAAAGGCAATCTTTAAAGATTGGTACAGTAATCCTACGTCATGGCCAATGATACAAAAAGGAAAGCCATGTGTTTGAATGTTTTGTAAAATAAGGCTTTGTATAAGCATGGAGCAAAAAAATAAAATAAAACTTCCTTAATGGGTTCCACCAATCAATCCTGTCTTCAACTCGCTAAAAATTATTGAGAAATTCAAAACTACTCAACTCAAAAAGGTACACTCAGTGTGCAATTAATGTTGGCATTCTTCTTAAAAAAAAAACAAACAACAAACAACAATATTTACAACAGAAAATAAAGTATGCAATATGCAAAGGCTTAATGTTGCTTTCAGCAACCCCCAACAGACCTCCCCCACCCAAACACTAAGAAAAATCCGCCTCATGGGTGGCTCCTGTGAAGAACCCAACGAGACCACCCTCACACCTCAAAAACCCACCCATCCACCCTCCCGCATACATACAGGACATCACAAAGCACGATTACATCACTAAGCCTGTTAGTTTGAGTGAGATAACCCCCCCGTCCCTATTTGGTTCCCTGACCCCTGGCTCTTAGGAATTGGTGAAGGCATCGGCACAGGGGCTCCACTCGTCTGTTTTAGGGTTGTAGGCCTCAACGGAGTTAAGGAAGTCGTTTCCATCGAAGCCACCAACGGCATAGATGACACCATTGAGCACAGCTGCACCAGCATTGCTGCGTGGCGAATTCATGCTCCCTAGCATCCTCCATTCGTTGCGGGAAGGGTCATACATTTCAACACAACGCAGAGCGTGAGAGCCATCGAAGCCGCCTACCACGAAGAGTTTACCTGAGAGAGACAGCAACAAAAAATAAAAATCAGTCACCATATGTAAGCTTAATGGTCATATACTGGCAATTTGTCCTTTGCTTACCTTCATAGACAGCCACTCCAGCTCCTCTCCGGGCTATGTTCATTGGGGCAATAAGGGTCCAAGTGTTATTTTCTGGGTTGTAGCGTTCCACACTGTTCAGACAGTTCCATGATTCAGCTCCTCCGATCACGTACATGAAGCCATCCAACTCACACACGGCAGCCTGATGCCTCCCTGTAGATTCATGAAAATAACATTGAGAACCATTTGTGCAGATCCATCTGGCTTTTTATCTGTGTAATCCCTGCTGTACGCTTAAGCTGTGATCTCTTAAGTGCCAGAAACCCCTTTGGAAGCAATTATAGGGATATTTTTGACGTCAATATGACTTACTGATATTTAAAGGGGCACAGCTGGTCCAGGCCTTGCTCACGGGGTCAAAAACATCACAGTTCTTCAGACCTTTCTGTCCGCAAGGATCTGATCCCCCAACAACATACAGCTTGTTGTTCAGAGAACAGACACCTGAAGAAAGAAAACAATAATTGATTAATCTAAGCCTACTGTATTCTCTGTGTTGAATGGACAAATTCAAAATCTCTTTAAAGGGATGCACAGAATCTGGCAAAAACCAACACATCATTTTTCGTTCTCTGACAAATGAGGTTTCGCTTAGAAAGCCTAACAACTTTGAGTATTACAAAACGATTGCTCAAGGGTCAACACGTACTAGTCCGATCAGAAAATACTGACACTGTAGTGTACATCAACCATGAAGGTGGTCTACGCTCCCATCGTATGTTGCAACTCACTCGCCACCTCCTCATATGGAGTCAGAGGCATCTGAGGTCAATCCGAGCCATTTATATTCTCTGAGCCCTGACAGCTTCAACCCCTCCCCGGAGAATGGCGACTCCATCGCTAGTCGGTTCAGCTGATTTAAGACCAGTTCAGGGACGCACAGATAGATCGGGTTGCCTCTCGCAACTTGACCCATTGCGTCCTGTATTATTCCCTGACCGAGGGCACGCTCGGCACAGATGCACTGGCGCACAGCTGGCCACAGGGCTATAAGTATGTGTTTCCCCCAGTGAGCCTTCTTGCGCAGATCCTACGCAAAATCAGGGAGGACGAGGAGCAGGTCACAATCCAACTCCTGGAGTGGCTACGAGACACGCATACGCGTTGAAGTGGAACCTCTTTGTCAACTGGTGCTCTTCTCGCCGAGAAGACTCCCGAGAGTTCGGTTGGTGTCATGCTAGCCTTACTTCAAGATGGATTGGAGCAAAGGCTGTCTCCATCCACCCTCAAAGTATACGTTGCCGCTATTGTCGCACACCATGATACAGTGGAAGGTAAGTCCTTAAGGAAGCATGACCTGATTGTCAGGTTCCTGAGAGGAGCAAGGAGACTGAATCCTCCTCGCCCTCCTCTCGTTCCCTCTTGGGGTATTCTCCGTTGATGAAGCATGCCTGGAATTTGGGCTGGCTTACTCTCATGTGATCCTGAGACCCTGGCCTGTATATGTGCCCAAGGTTCCTACCACTCCCTTCTGGGACCAGGTAGTAAACCTGCAAGGGCTGCCCCTGGAGGCGGCAGACCCAGCATTGGCACTGCCACCTCTCTGCGTCTATGTAGACAGAATTCAGAATGTTTCAGGAACTCAGACCAGCTCTTTATCTGTTATGGTGGAAAGCTGAAGGGAAAGGCTCTCTCCAAACAAAGGCTGTCTCACTAGATAGTGGACACCACTGCTTTGGCATACCAGCAGCAAGGTCGAGTGTGGCGTCCTCCTGGGATCTAGCGCATGGCGCCTCGCTAACAGACATCTGCAGAGCTGCATGGCTAGGCGACACCCAACACATTCGCTAGGTTCTACAATCTCTGAGTGGAGCCCGTGTTCTCATGTACTCGCTTCAAACAGCTAGTACTAGACCCGCTCAGGTGTCTTCGCTTGCTCGCCATTCCACTCCACGGACTGGATACGTCGTACAATGAGCTCCCTCCTCAAACCCTGAGTTCCTCCAGCACTGCTGACGTTGACGCCACAGTCTATTACTTGTGCGTTGGCTAGGTGCCTTCTGGGCAACCCCCATGTGTATTTCCACTGTAAGCCTCTCTGGGCATGTGTCTTTCCCTCAGCAAGCCACCTTGCCACCCCTGGGGTTGAAATTTTCCACCTGCGGCTGGATACATATGGATTCTCCATATATGTATCACTCGGGGTCATATGTGTATTCTCTATGGAGATGTAACGTCTGCCTGCCACTTCAGCTGTACCGAGGGGATCATCTGAGCTCAGTCTTGGCTCCTCAGCTAAGAAACATATCTGCATATTGCCAGCTTCCTCCTTTTATACCCACGAGGTGGGGCAGAGTTGCACCATGCAAACCCATGGCACCCATCTGAAACCCATCTGAAGACCCATGGCATTTCTTTTGTAATACTCGAAGTTGATAAATGTAAAAGTGAAGTTGAAAGAAATGAAAGTGAAGTTTTTACCTGCATTGCAACGATTGGTCCTGAGCTCCGGCACTTGAGTCCACTCATCAGCACTGGGGTTGTACGTCTCCCCACAACTCAGTTCATCAGAATGGCCGTTGGACCCACCCATCACGTAAAGCTGATCCTGATTGGATAAAAACAAGTTTTTACAGCACTTTCAAATACTACTTATTAATAACACATTTGACACATTTTTTTACACTTATACACACCATGAGCACGGCCATCTGAAACCGAGCACGTGGAGTCCTCATTGGAGCAATGAAAGTCCAGCTGTCAGTCTTCATGTCGTAACATTCCACAGTCCTCAAGCACTCCTCCCGATTGTAGCCTCCTGAATAAAAGATCAAGAGTTGCTTAACGAAGTCAAGAGAGACATTCAGAAGTTTCTTTGTGTGGTCCACTAACCTGCAGCGATGAGTTGGTCACTCAAAGCAGCGATGCCCAGGCCGGAGCGAGCATATCGCATGGGCGCCATCAGCTTTTCAGGTTTCTCTTCCAGCGGCTGGCCCTCGAAACTCAGACTCTTGGTTAGGCAAGGTGTGGATGAGGGCGAGGCCTGGGGACTGCTACGCCCATGCAAAAATATCACGCACAGCATGCCGTTCAATACAGCCAGACACAAGTATGTATTGTCTGTGGGGAGAGGAAAAGATAACTTGAAGCAACTGCAGAGAAGTCTCAACGATCTGATGAACACATCAAAAGTGCAAACTTACTGGTCGTCTTCTCAGAAGCTATGTATTTCCACTCTTGCTTGCAGGAAAGTTTTGCAGATCCAGGGGAGAGGCTGCCAGAGGAGCTGGTGCTCAGCTGTCGGTGTACGTTCTCACGTAGGGGCTTCTTCTGCAAAGGCACAGTGCAGCTACAGACTCCGAGCCCATGGTCCACACACATACAACCTCACACAGTCCCAGACCCGTCTAGGCGTAAACCTCACTCAACTTATCAGATGCAGGCTACATCAGGTGAAAGGAATATTCCTGGTTCTATGAAATTTAAGCGCCATCGACAGCATTTGCGGAATAATGATTACCACAAAAATAATTTGGACTCATGTCTCATTTTCTTTTAAAAAGTAAACCATTAGGTTTTGTTAAGGTACTAACAATTGTAGTGAAGGGGGGCCATTTTTAAAGGATCTAAAACAAATATGAAGCTATACACATTAATTCTTCGGTTACATCATTGATTATTTGAGCTGTAAGGCGGTTACGGTTTAAATCTTAATTTTTACAGGCATTTTAGCCATTACTTTGTCATGGCAACAGAGTTGGATAGAACTCAAAGAAGATTACTATATAGAATAAAATGTTGATTAGTATATAGAATAAATGTATATAGAATAAGATTATTTTAAAATTTACAAATTGGCCTCATTCACCTTCATTTTTGCTTTCTCTTGGGGGAAATGAGTTTTTGTGCTAATCAACATCATGCCACAAATGCTTTTTGATTTGAGCATGTACTGAACCTTGGAATATTTCTTTGACCTTATATCTACATTAATCTAATCCCAATGTAAAGCCACACTATAAGCAGCACAAAAACCCAATCCACACACTCATCACGGACACGCCGTGATCTCTTTAGCCTTAAAACGCTCAGACTCAACAGCCCAACACAACAAAGCAGCTGCTCTGCTAGCATTACACTCAAATCCTGCATTCGCTATGGGTCTGCTGCAGTCCAGCCTGAGAAGAGCTCAGCGCTGGTTGTGTACCTGCACAAACTGGATGTGGTCATCCTCAGTGCCGAACACCTCAGCCTGCCCGTCAAGCAGGCTCCCATCGAGCAGCTTGTGATCGGCCGAATAGTACAGCGTTTGCACCTGCAAAACACACAGGGACAACAAAACCCATGTGGCTGTCTCCATGACAACAGAACACCCAACAACGTGGGTCAGGGAAGAAAGAAAAGTTAAGAAGGGGAGGGCCATAGCGCTCGTTCGCTGCAAGATGCTGGTAAAAAAAAAAGCTTCTTTAAGAATATGAACACAGTGTTGCTGTGGATCATTTCACAAGATCTTCAGGGGTTTTCACTGCACTGAAAACAGCAGAATGTGGATCACAATACTTTCGCCACAAAGCATCTTGGGAACCTTCATTTAAGTTTGGAGAAGGAAACAATCAAGCTTTTCAGTGCAGGTTCAGGGGGTCATCCTGCAGCCATCTTCTCAGCTGAGGGGGTTAGTCAAATCAGACGTCATCACATAAACTCCAGGTCAACACTGGTTAGCTGTTTTCAACTTTAACAGCTCAAAAAAATCCCTCGTTTAAAAAAAAAAAATCTTGGATTGTCTTCAAGCTTAAAGAAAAGTGAATTAAAAACCAAATGAAATACTAAGTTCAGTTCAAATAACTGAAAAAAATCCACTGAAACTGAATAAAGTAGCGCTATAAATTTAAATAAGAAAATAAAGTGCATCAGTGTTGATAAGGGATGGGCTTTTCGCTATTTTTGTCTATGGGAACTCGACAGAAATATTAAGTGAGTACAGCAGATTTGCAGTTATTAAGGGTCTTGCACCATGAGCATCACATTTTTGCGGAGCTGCCCTTGACCGACTGTCTACAGTGCTGACGCCAACTGATTAGCACCAGTAGGTATCGCTGAAAATAAATAAAAAATTACAAATGAGGCCATTTGTGTATAGCTATAGTAGCTTCTTTCAGTTTGCCGAATACTGATTGCTGTAAAATGTTGAAAATGAAAAAAAAAAAAAAAGTCATGTACTTTTGAGTACTTGTGCCCATCCCTAGTGGGAATGTGTCCAAAAGCAGATTAAAAGGAACTAGGAACTGAGAGCGACTTGAGAACATCCCTTTAATCCGCACTCAGTTTCCACTTCCTTTATTTAGAAAAAAAGACATTGTAGGTGCCATTATGAAGCCGATGGCTCTCTTCCTTTATTTTCAACGGTACGTAATCAGTATTCAAATGTATACTGTGTAAATGTAAAATGCCCTAGTGGCATAAACCATTCATTTTAGTCAGTTATCTGAATATTCTGTAAGTTTGTGCATGAACAACTGTGTAACATGCTTTGATTTACTTTGCAATGCATGCATATGCAAGTTGACTTGTGTTGTGTGAGGTGTCGTATGTGAGGTGGACTTAATATGTGAATGTCTTGAACACATTTATACTTGGAGATCTGAAGTGTCATTTTAAATGAACAGTGTACTGTTGTTGGTGAGTGCATTTGATTAACAGACAGGAGCCTGGCACTTGTTTCACCACGGCTCCCTCTCGTTCTTTTGTTATTTTCTTTCTTTCACTGACTCATTACCCTGGAGGCCCCCAGTCTTGGTTTCTTCAGTCTTGTGAGAATCCTGCTGATGTTTGCTCTAATAAACCTAAGGAGAGATAAATCAGTGGGGAGGAAGAACTGTTAGTGCTGGTTCCCAAAGAACGCACACTCACTCACACACTCACACACCTGCTTAGAGAAGAGAGAGATGTCATTGGGACGGCAACATGCCATGTCACTCTCTGCGAGCAGACAAGAGTAGCTGCAGTTACTGCACAGCACTGAACATTCAGGAGGCTTTTAGATTGGCTCACCTGGACTACCCACTCGCCTTTGCGGAGGGTGTAACAGCCCCTGTTCTGTACCTAAACGTATATTCTTAAAGGCGCGGGGTGATTTGTGGGTAAAGGGGGAGAGCAAACAAAAAAAAAAATATATATATATATGGAAGCCAAAGAGAACAAACCCAACCGACCTCTACCATTAAGATGGCTGGTGTGAACGGACCTGTTAAATCTGTGAATGGGATGAATTACGAGGGGGAAGAAGTGAGGGAGGAGAGAGAGAGAAGCTCACAGTGGAGCGCAGTACTGACCTCCTCCATCAGTCGCTCCAGGGGTTCGCCATTTTCCCACAGGCTGCGTTGCACCCAGCCGATGACCTTGGAGTACAGCTTGCCGTTACTAGGCAAGGTCAAGTTATCCTCCAGAATCACCTCCAACTATAAAGCAGACCAAAAGAAAGTATTTGGTTAGCATAAGCGTGCAATCAAGAATAGTAAATGACCCGAAAGTTTAAAGGCCAGCTCACTTTAAGGCGTGGAAGCTTGAGGAAATCCTCTTGCTCAGACACGTCTAGAAGGTGCTCCTGGATATAGCTGTCGATCTTGCCCAGCAGACGGCCGTCTCCCATACAACTGGCAAAGTTGCGATAGGAGATGACACTCTGGGAATCCATCTTGGAGAGAAGGTAGTCGCCACAGATCTGGTAGCAGGTACAAAAAAGTAGATTAGGGCTTCATCTAAAGGAAGCCAGTCACAAATACACAAAAATGTGCTTAATATGCCTACCTGCTTCACTCTGTCCATTTTGAGCCGTTTGGCTGCAGAGTAAACCTCCTTAACCAGCTCTTTATCTGCCTTCAACCTGCAGAAAGCAAAATCAAATATCAGAAATCATTGATCGCCACACATGGGAAGCCATTGATATGGAAAAAGCGCTCTATGATGGCTCTGATTGGTTTATTGCATGTTGTGTGTCTCTTACTGGGCAGTGTAAGCATAGTTGAGAAGGATCTCTACAGCCTCAGGGTCCAGATCCTCAAACTTCACATGGGAGATTCCATGAGGTTCCAGGTCGCTGTTAAAGATCTCAAACAGGTACGGACTGCAACAAGCCAGCACTGCCCGGTGAGCCATCAATTCATGGCCGCACACCTGCAAAGATAAAAAGGGCAACGGTTAAGTCTATAATGGCATTGTAACAAAGAAATAGGCACCACCAAGTAAATTAACTGTAAATCTGGATTTTCAGATATGATGTTTGGCCAGTTAAATGTTGGTAAGGTGTTCTGAATGGGTTTTAGTAAGTTGCGATGCAGTTTCTAAGGTGTTCTGTGTGGTTTTTACTAGCATGTTGTTATAGAATTTTTTTTTTTAGCAATTAATTGCTAATATTAGCAATAGCAATAGGTTGGCTAGCCTGGCTAACGCCAGACCACGCATCATTGAGAATGAAACATGGTCTGGAAACCACATGTAAATTTTCTCGTATTTGAGGCATGGTTTACGAATGCCCAGAGCCGTATTATTGGGTGCCACGAATGTCTATCAAATACTCCCGTGCTCCCTCCCCGTTCTGTGATTGGTTCCCTATTTCAGGGGAAAATTTGGTTCATGGTATCCAGACTGCCTAGCGGCGCGAATAAAATCGCGCCGCGGCAAGGCAGAATAGGGAAACCCAGGCTATATATAGCTTGGCAGCATCATTAATGGGATCTATCACTCCAAAATGAAAATTCTTTCATCATTTACAAAAGAAGATATTTTTAAGAAGACAGTTGACGTAACCATTGACTTGCATACTGTCAACTATCTGGTTACAAACATTCTTCTAAATATCTTCTTTTGCGTTCAGCACAAGAAAGAAACTCATACATGTTTGGAACAACTTGAGGGTGCGTAAATTATGACTGAATTTAAATTTTGGGTTTGAAATATCCCTTTAAATAAGCCTACCAAAACAACTTACAATATTTCTATTTGGAACAAGAGAGTCTTTAAGGAAATTAATTTTGATATTAACTATTAAATCTCTTGTTAAAGCTTTCAAGCATTCTTTGAAATATTCTGAACACAGAGGGTATGCCTTTGCATGTTAATGAACGTCACACAGCTAAAGGCCATTCAAAGATCCAGGACCTGAGTCTAATGAAACACACTCTTCTACCCTGAGTCATGTTTCAGCCTTCTCGTAATGACACAGAGAATAATAAGGTTAAAAAAAGGGTGTGTTACCTGAAGTCTCACATCACAGAACTGTCCATTCTTTCTAAGGGCGTTCATTTTGGCCACGGTGGAATCCAGGAAACTTTCGTCCTCAAAGATCAAATATCCGTTGGGAATCATTTTGGAAATTAAGCCTTTGCAAAAGCAAAAAAAAAAAAAAGTCATTCAATTTTATGAATTTATCTCAAAATATCTTTCCCACACAGTGCATCTTACATAAACCCACACACCAAAAATACAATTTATCATTCATTTTAGCCGCTGGCTAAAAAGCTGCCAGTCTATAATCACTATAAAACCATCTAAATAAGTCACGTGCTTCCTTACCTAATACCGAATGGCGTTTGTCTGGGAGAGATGGTTTTACTTGGGAAAGCCGTGAAAAGGCACGAGTGAAGAAGAACCAGGAATGGGAGCGCCTAAGTTTTACTTCACTGGAAGTGGATGGAAAAGGCAATGCCAGGCAACCAGAGGGCACAGCAGGGGGTCAGAGGTGACTCAAACTCTCAGGCTTAGAGTGACTGCAATCAAGTCCTCGGGTGTCCCGTTGGCTATAGACTCAAACCTTTTCTATGTTGATCGTGCATTATAACCTGCAGGACAAAAAAACAAACAAGAGGTTTTTATGACACCACATGGGAATTTATCGGAAACACTGATCACATCAATGGCAATTTTTAGAACGTCAATGTCCACATCATCTATTACTGATGTGAAGAAAAAAAAACAATGGAATTGAAAGGTTCATGTGCCGCTCAAGGGCAGATCATAGACTGACCCAGCTTTGCACTACTGATTGCTTTCATTGTGTTAAACACGTGCCTTGTTCAGGATCAGCCTTCACTTCTGCTGCACGGACAGTTCAAATTAATCCTCCAAGACAGAATCGGTCTCATGCTGACTTAATTCAAGAAGCTACCTAAAATGATGACTTTTATTATATTTATAATTAACAAATTATTATTATTATTATTAAATCTCAGAACATGCTTTTCCAACCTTTCCATCAAGTCTCCCTTGGTCAGGCATTTCTACAACCCCCAAACACAATTCTCTCCTTCCCCCGCTACCCACATGGCTCTACCACACCCACAATTCTGGAAATTTCCACAGGTCTTTCAATGCCTTTTCAGCCAGCAGATGGCCCAATTCTAGGGGCGGAGGATGGTCACAAAACCAACAACTCACTTGGTCAGGAATTTTGATGGATTTATCACATTCCCACAATGATGTGGCTTCAGCTGTGTGGGGATGGAAAAATGCTAAGCGAAAAACAAATGAGCTCCAGTGTGTGGAATCCTTGTGTTTTGCATGAAAATCTGCTGGTATTTTTCCACACACATCTTTTTATTCACTTCAGCCTCAGCCGGCGTAAATGCAGGCAGTGGAGGTCTTTGGATAATCTGCTCATCCTCGCTAGCTCTTTCCTACGCAGGGGCTGATTATTGAAAACAGTAATCGGAAAACTCTAGGCCGTAATTTACCTTCTCATAGAGATGGTTAAAGATAAGTGGCATTGGAGAAACACTTTCAAGCACAAGGAAGGATGAGTAAAAAGATGGAAGCAATAAATGATGATTCATTTTAAGTTCTCATCAAAACCTTGTCTGATCTTCAACACTGAAGTTTATTCCAGAACTCCAAACTCTTTCCAAAAAAAAAAAAAAAGGTCAAGAGATGTTAATAAACTCAATAAAGGGTCATAAGATTATCCGAAAGGAAAGCCACGTTCACAAGTCCATGGTGATGCTGATGACATAAGAGCTGATGACATGTTATCTGGTGTGTCCGTGTATTCGGGTTCAAATAACTAGCTGGGCAAAGAAATTCAAGTCTTCCTCTGTGTCGAAATCCTTAGACATGTTTGTGAAGATTGTTTTGTTTACAGCGTGCGTCTCCCTTAGAGACTGTAAATGAAGCTCGGGCGCACCAGATAACACGTCAGCAGCGTCACTGAACGCGGCTTTACAGAACCGGAAGTAAATACAATGCTGAATAAAGTCGTAGTTTTTGTTATTTTCGGACCAAAATGTATTCTAACTAATCCAGTCATGTCACATGGACTACTTTGATGATGTCTGTATTTCCCTTATGGACAAGGACAGTATACCGCATACATAGCCTACATTTTCAATGGAGGGAAAGAAAACCCTGACTAAATCTAAAATATCTGTGTTTCGAAGATGAACGGAGGTCTTATGGGCTTGGAACGATATGAGCGGTGTCGGAACGGTGAGTCATTAATGACATAATTTTCATTTTTGGGTGAACTAAGTCAACTAACCCTTTAATCTGCTGTTGGTCCACTTGGAGTGGAATCAAGAACTGACACTTTAAACCAGGACACTTACGGGTTAGACAACAGATAAAGCCGACGGTGACTTTGCAGCTTTACATGGACTCACAAATCGGTTCATTGTGTGCTGACAACCACAGCATACAAATACTGACAAAGCAGAGAGTGAAAAGACAAAAGGACGGACAGATATTGAAATGTGTGGTGGAAGAAAAACACTTTGAAAGACCATTTTGTGCATATAATCCCCTCTAGCAAGCAGAGAACAGCCCGCTCAATCAGAAAGCGTGGGACAGACAGCGAGGCGAGAGAGAAAGAGGAGAATGGGTTGAAACACACAGCAACAGTTGTTCTATTGACTCTGCAGCAGTACTCAACAGATAACCCAGATTGAGCAACAACTTAATACGTCGCATATGGCCATGCTAAAAAATAAAACTGAGGCTAGAGAGGACATTGTGTTCCTTCCTTGCATGCGATTTTAGTCAGTTCAACCCACTTATAGTCTGCCCATGACCACAAGCGACATATACGATTATATTGGTCTTCGTCATGAGACTCCTGTTTTGCAAGTCACGCTTTCTCTCTGGGAACTCCACCAGCTCTGAGAAAAAAAGGTGAACTACATTACTCAGTGTCCGAAACACACAGGCTTGCTAACGTTTAGATTTAATCATTGGCCAGATTTTGCTATGCAAATTGATTCACAGCAAATTTTACCAGGAATCAAGACCATGAATCATGAGTCATGACCTTGGCATTGTTAATGCTATACAAATAATAATGATTTTAATGAATGGCCCTGGACGTCTATCGTAACTAATAAGCTCCAATATACTGTACTTTTTTTTACTGAGTTGACAAATCCCTCAATGTACCTTTAAGCTCATGAATGGCTTGCACAACAGTGATAAACTTATGTAGAGTCTGCATAAAATGTGTAGGAAGGGCATTGGGTGTGCAACAAAAAAAAATAACACTCTGGTTAAATGGTTGTGCGAAATCATGAGAGGCTATGGAAGAAGCATGATGAAAAGTTATATCATATAATCATATTCAGATGTGAGGTACAGACCGAGCTGCATTTCCAGGGGTTAGATAACACCTGCCAAAATCCGTGATTTACTCTCTCTCAGCCTAAACTAAAACACGCAGCTACTATTTCCATAAACCCACAGGCAGCAGAAGAGCTTATGAAATTTAAACTCGTAATTACAAAGATGGAAAGGAAACACATTATGACTGCTCCATCATAATAATTCCAATAATTACTTTTGTAGATTTTTTTTTTATTTAGATTGTATTTATTTAATTACTTTGTGAATTTACAGATTACATTCAGAGGGCAAAGAGCAGCAAAGCTTCTGGTATCTTTGCTTCTTTATTTATATCTGCCCCTCTCTAATGAAATGCTAACCTTTATGGAAAAGGTTAATGGGAGAATACAATTTAAGGAGTGAGCTAACAGAGCCAACGGCGGGTGATCTCACACATGAGAACAGGCTGGAAAATTGCATAATCCTTCATCACCACGTATAAAGAATGCTTGAAAACTGAGAGACAGAACATTGATTTTATTCACAGTGGCCGTAATAGAAAATGTCCCCATGTGATTCACATTAACCACAACATGCAATGGAGGAAAGGCAATTAAACAGCCAAGTAATTCTCTGAAAATAAATGCCTTCTATTTCGACTCTCTAAGAATCTATGCATCAAAATGCACAAGGAAAGGTTGTAGTTTAGGAAGCACTGCATATATTTCCCTTACAAATGAAGCATTGCAGTGACAATTAGGTCATCCATTGGCAGATGTGAAGTTAAGGAACAGAAACGGCTTTATGAGAAGTGAAACTGCGGATTCCTGTGACTTGTAAATAGGATTGTTAAATATGACTGGAGATTTGATGTGAGCATGACTGTAAATGTGATGTACTGTGGGAGTGGGAACATAGGTTGTGAAAATGATTACAGGTATGTAGAGATAACATATGTAGAGAGAAAATAAGCAAATAATAATGATAATAATAATAACACCTATAACCAGACAGGGAAATTCCACAGCATTTGCCAAACCTGCAAATTTTTCTATATATCCCTTAAACAAATAGGTACCTATATAATTCATCCAGTTTTGGCTGACATTTCCTTTCATCTTCCACAAAAAATATTAAGTCAGGTTTGGAAATAAGATGATTTTAGAGAAATGCAGCTTAATAAAATAATTAAGAATATTGTGCAAATAATTTAAACTCTACAAATATACATAGTTAAACGTAACATATTTCCAAATATCTACTTAATGTATGAGATATGTTAATCACAATCAAATATCATCGATCATCGAAGCGACGTGCAAAAGATAAAATATGCAAGGACACATTTCTGTGGTTACGCCCCATTACATCCACGAATCCTGATAGGCCAGAACGTATGATTCCGAACTATTCGATTGGCCAGATGACGTGTCCATCAACACGCCTCGTATCCACGTTCCCTGCACAATGAAGCTTGCATCATACGGAACCTAGAACGTTTCTGAACATCTCGACCAAGCCTACAGTAAAATACAAAACTAGGTCAGTAGGACCTGGTCGTAATTTTAATATATTCCTGACTAAAAATCAACGACGAGGTAAAATGTATGTTCTGCATCAAAATACACGAGCACTGCTTTCAATGAACCACACCGATCACTCTTTTTTTAACCTTGACAAATCGTCCTGTTCCTATTTTTTATTAATTTCATTCGTGTGTTCGTCAGCATTTACTGTTCTTTTGTGATGACGAAGGATAAAGAATAATTCCATTTTAAGAATGAAGAAATGTTAAAATTGTGAGCAGACAACAGCATTATCATGGTTAGCACATTCAAGCCTCTTTTAAAATGAAATTAAAATTAACTTTACATGATTGTAGTGAGTGTAGAGCTGCTTGCCCAATGTATAATGAATTGAATGTGCATTATTTCCTGATTATTTCCAGCACCCGCAATAACGTTACTATAAATGCCAGTTGGTGACGTTCCACTAACGTTAGCTGTAGCAAATGTAAACCCGTCCGTTTATTTTGTAGGAAAATATTACTTACTTTATTTATTTAATTTAAAATCAATTAAAAATAATAAATAAAAAAAAACTCAACATTTGATGAAAAAAAAAATCACGGTTTGTTGCAAACAGCAATCGTTGATCTCACGCGAGCGATTCTCTTGATGAGAGCAATGCAGTTGCCGATTTCATAGCAGATTACAACGCACCATATGGCAATCGCGTGAGTAACGTTACATGTAAACTGTCTTTATGTGTAACACAAAAATAACAATGTAACGTTAAAAGCAAAATCAGTTGTAGATCTTTAAAAAAATAAACACGTAGTATGAAAGAATCCTGGGAGGACAGGAGACATGAAGCTTCAGTCATTACTTTAGAGATTCTTACCTGATCTGTTTGACGGTAGACGATGGTAGACATATTTAAGGTCAATTAAAAGCTGTTGGTTCGGGATATTGCAAAAGCAATAGATATGGCACGTCTCTGCGTCCGTACAACCCTGTCGTTCCAGGTATGGAGATTGTTGGATTGATCAGCGAGCGAGCGAGCTTTGACAGCGACTCCGGTGCACGCGCTTAACAAAAGACACGGAGCTGGATCGCGCGTGACGTCACGGCAGAGCTCCGCCTGCGGAAAAGTACCGGTCCGACAGTGAGGTGAGGTCAGGCCCTGGAGCCGGGGGAAAACGGCTAGTAAAACTAGTCTGGGTTGACATACAACTGGGTTGTTTTTTAGCCTTTGGCATAAATTACCTGTGTTCTCTGCATATATTATTTACTTTATGCATTTCATGCTCAGTCAGTCTTCTTAGTTCTCAAACGGAGGCGTGGTCCAGGCGGCCTCCTCAGTAAACTAAAATTATTTTAAAAACGTGGTCTCAGTAACGACTTAAAACTAGTTAAAACAGTTTATATTAAAGTAGTTAAAATACTTAAAAATCAAGATGAGGTTCTAAATCACCTTAATTGATAAATCAATTTTATGTGAAAACGCATTCAATTTTGCTAATATTTTTTCTTCTTGGACATTGTTGTTTTTAATGAGGAACATACCGTTTTAACTTATGAAATTAATAATTTAATAATTAATTTTTTTAATATTTTTTTTTTGACACTACTAGTTTCAGGGGATGCGGCCTACAATTTTTCAGAGGCCCTTAAAGACAAAAAGTTTGAGAACCACATGCTTTTTCACTGGTATTTTTGTCAGTGATTGTCAAGTGATTTTAATCTTTGCATGTGGTGATATTGTCACAAATGAGAAAATGATAAGTGTCCTGATTATGGCTATTTTATATGTCGAGACTTAAGACATCCAATACCCATATCCGATAATGCATTCCTTCACCTACCCATGTGTAAAGAGGCTTAGCTTCTTCTGTGATGCAGGAGTGTATGATGTCAGAGCCAAATTTTTACAAATGATCCTCTCTCCTGCACAGGTAAGACTCTCTGCCTTAGCCAGCATTGTAAATCATAATTGGATAAATGGATCAGCGGCACGACTATAGACACATGAGCCCAAGGCAGTGCTAAGCTGCCCATTCTGTAACTGCCAGCCAGTGTAATGCACTGACCATACAATGCCAGTAACAGAAGCTCGAGAAACATCCTGGCCTTTGTTAGTAAATCTACACCTACAACTGAACTGACAAGCGTTTGTCCACATGCGGATCAGGTTTTTTAAAAACAAAGTTGTAGGCAGAACTGAAAGATAGGATTTAACTGGATATGTTTACACACTAAGCCAATGTGGCCCTTTCAGGTGGCCAGATCAGTGTCCATTCAGGAAGCCAGAGATTGGACTTGTTCTCTTAGTTGAGATGTAAATTTTTGTAATTTGTGTCTGTTTAAAGTGTTGACCAATGACTGAACCATTCCTAAGCAACATGGCTGCTCATTAGTCCAGAATAATAGTAGTAATGTGGTTTTGTATCACATGATGCAGGATCTTAAAATACATTGCTTATATTTATTATATTATTTCAGATGCACACTGTAATACAAGTAACTGAATAGTTTTATATTATTATATATTTTATATTTTCGCAATATATCAAAAAGTTCAGATCATACTTATGTTATATGTGAATTTGGAATAATAAATCTAATCACAAATATAGCATTGCATAACACATCTCTTTTTATATATAGTTTAAAAGAGCAGATATGAAGCATATGTAATGCTCTCCAAAAACTTTTGAGACTGATGAGATTTTTAGTGTCATTTTTGACCCTGGCAAAAAGTGTTTTAGTGTTTGTTCCTGTCCCCTCGAGTTAACAGATACACGGCCAATCTGAATCCTCATGCATAATTATATCTTTAATCACATTGTTTGTGTGTGTAATGTGAGTGCACATCGTAGTTGTGTGTTTAGCTCTTCTGAAATCCGGCACAGATGTTTTCTGACAGCAGCAGTATTAATATTGCAGGTGAGAAGGCAATTTCTCACAGCTGCAACTAACACGTGAGGAGTCTGGGGAATGTTCTCAGCAAGACATTTGAATTAGCTCAGCAAAACAAAACAATAAAAAAAAAACTGTTCAGCAGAAGGAATGCTCTAAAAGAGAATATGAATAGAATAGAAAACCAATGTGGCTCATTGTCAATATAGCATGTTAGATGTTTGGGTGTGATTTTTATTATCATTTTTTTCATTTTTAAAACAATTAATATTGGTTTTATGAACCATTAATTGTTTTTTTATGAATGAAACCCATGTAATTTCAGTGCCACTAGCGCCACTGTTTGGATTTGCCATCTTTCTTCCTTTTAGTCTGACAACATGGATTGTGATGCTCAAACAAATAGCAGTGTTTGATACCGCCAAATCCAATGTTTATACTTTTTTGAGAAATCAGCCTACGAGTAAATTATTTTTTGTTGTGGGAGAATGGGAGAAAATGACGTTAAAATAATTGTTATAATTAATAATTTTCTAGATTTTATTTAAAGCTGCTGTCCGCAGTTTTTCCTCTTTGTCGGCATCTCTGTTCGAAATCTGCAATTGCAGTTATTCGCAGAATTATCAACTTTACGTGAGTTGTAGTACAACATTCTTGACAGGTCACAAGCGGTTGAATCCAATGTTTGAGGAGATTGTGTGGCTGTCAGACGGTGTGGATACTACTGGCATTCAGAATCACAGATTATTCTTTATGAAAATATGACCAACATAATAATTTTAACCGGAAAATGTCATCTGAACAAGTTACATCCACTGTTGTTCTGGTTCTGACATTGCATTAAATCACGCTGAGTCCGGTTGCAGTCTCTTTTTTTCTGTAGCCACTCCGAAGTCCAAACAAAGTCTTTTGAACCTTTCTGGATCCGCCATCAAATTGATAAGTTTAATTATATCAAGTAATTAAACTTATCACGTGAGAAAATGCTATAAATCTCCACCTCCAGCATCCTCGCACGCAATATAGCTTATACTAGCCGAGACTCCTTCTTTATATGTTCAGATGTGACGTAATGACTGACGCAAAGATATGCTCGAATCTCCCGCAGAAATCCACCAGTACCACTGGAATTAAAAACATTATTACAAGCTTTGAGTCGAGCTACGGCAAGCAGATCGTTTTGTACACTGGCTGGTTATGTATTTTCTCAAATTTGTATTTTGGATAATTTTTAACCTGAAAAAAAAGAGTGCAAATACAAAAATGGATATGCTCATATATATTTTAACTAGAAAACTAGGTCACAGGGTGTTCAGTATGAAGACGTATATTACATAATTAATGCATGCTTACATATTCACTTTATACTGCACTGTCCTTAAAGAAACTATTTTCTCTTTTTCTTTGGTGAAAGGTAATGATATCAGAAACTTGACTTAAAGGTTGAGTTAAACTAAAGAGCATCGTGGTGAATTAAATTATGTCTAAGTCATAAAGAGTTACCATGTTTTTTCTCACAGGCTCATGGTTTACATTATTGTAATTTTGTCTATAATTTTTATATAAAAATGTCATAATTTAGAAATTAAAGACATTATTCCTACCCTGTTTTTAAGGGGCGTGTCTGCTGTGAGGCTTCAGTGTAAACGCCTACTGCTGTGATTGGCTGACATCTTTGCATATGAAATAGTATTACATGTGGAACCTCTCAAACTTTTAGCACGCTTTTACTATTACAGCTCTCAAGGTTTACTAGTCGTGTATAGTGTTGATTGTATAGTATTATACTTAGATCTATGGCATTATATTTAGATCGGTATATTTGGAAAGGTAGCAGTGATGAGCATTGGAGCTGTTGTACAGTGCATGAATGTGATCTCGTTAGCTCAAGGGCTTGGTAACAATAAAAGTTGTTTTTGGAATAACAAGGAAGTTTTAAATTTTTGAACTTACTGGATATTCTTATTATAAAATTGATTTCTCAGTTCATGACCCCTTTAAATATCATCATAATACACATATAAACTGAATGAGTTATATACCCATGTGTTCATTTAAAACACCACCAATTGACACTAGAACCACAAATAAATCAGCGATAAATTTACAAAATAAATGGCCCATTGGGCTTATGAATTACAGGCATCTTGCCTGCTTGCTTTTAAGACTGCAACGTTAATTTGGCAATTGGCAGCAATCGTAATCCGACACATATATTGCTTATATTGAGCAGTTGAATGTAGTGCATCTAATTTCATTACAACATATCATTTTTACATTGCCCCCTCTTCCGAAAAGTTCAGAGAGCTCTGAATCTGATAGACCCTTTTCACATTTCTGGGTTTCTCAGAAGTGGAAGTCGTTAAAGTTGGGCAAACAAAACTGCTCAATAGTGTTTTCACAACTTTCAAAAAGAGTAAAGAGCAGAGAGAGATTGATAACGGTAGTCAGTGGAGAGAAATATGTTGACTTTACCATCACTCCCACAGCCAATGTATTAGAAACAGCATTCTAACAAATCTTTATTTTTTTGTAAATTGATGCAAAGGTATAATACCCAGTATAGTGTTATAATAAATGTAATATATATATATATATATATATATATTGGAACTAACTGTATATATATATATAACAGTTAGTTCCAATACATGATTCTGAATGGTCAATAGCTGTGCTTTATTCATGATAAAACACGACTATGACCGACCGTTTCACCCAACAGTTCTATTTATCACTGCACAACACTGCAGTTCCTATGTTGTTTTTATTTGAGCTTTCATGCATATTACACATTGGAACGTTGTTGCTGTTCACGGTCAGGGACTATTTTTTTCTAGCGGAAGGAAGGCTTTAAGTGATTTTACTTCATGAAAGTTGCTCTAATACATAATATTTTTTTTTTACTTTTAATATTTTTTTATTGCATGGTGACAGTTTCATAAAAGCAATAAGGTATGAGAGGCTGTGATGTATAGTAAGTAATTCAAAGTGAATAAGCTTCGCATCGTGCTTAACAACGGCCTTCATTCACAATACAGCAAAGCCTCTCATACCTTATTGCTTACATAAAAAAAAACTTGGCAGGATTTACGATGCTGATGACATTTAAAATATGTCCAATAGTGAAATGGACCTGTTAGGCCCATTTCCTTGATTTCCTATATAAGGTTCGTCAAATGACTGGTTTGTATTGGGAT